CATACACAATTCAATGCCTACCGGCGGGATATTGTAATTTTTTATTTTCTTTATTTGTTTTCCTTCACTAAAGAATATCATGAACTCCTTCAACGAAGAACATTGCTGTCGAGGAATCCCGCCCAACCATCAATCTTGAAGTTGTCCGAGAAGGGTTGTTCTACAGAGACAGACAACTCTTTCCTTTGCATGCAATAAAAAAAGTCGGCGTTCAGGGTGTTCGAAAAGAATGGTGTTCCCCCTGTTTGTTCGAATATGGTGAAGGTTCGAAAAGAATGGCGTTCCTTTACATGACTGATTATTCGGCGGATTCGAAAAGCTTGGCGTCTCCGTTGAAAAAAACTGAAGTGTCGAGATGACACTTGGACAACGATGGCAGCGGCTTCCTCAAGCTTTGTTGCTTTGTTCAATCTTTTGATGTCCAAGCTGGGCATGTTGAACTCCCATGCTCCAGCTTGAGGGGGAGTGTTGGAGATAGAAGAAGGAAGCCGGATCGAAGAAGGAAATTGAATCCCTTTGGGATTCGGTTTAGTATATTTCCTAGTTTGTTTATTTCTTGTTTTAGTAGGAATACAAATATGGTAGGAATAGAAGTTTACTTATATGCTTTACTCTCTTTCCATATAAAGGGGGTTAGACATTTGTAATCACAAGCCAATTTAATATACAAATTATTTTCTCTCTTATCAATTTCTACATTTTCAAATGAGACAACAAGATCCAAATTCTTTTCTATCCCTACAAATCTATCCCTACAAACAAAGGGTAGAATGTCTCTCTCAATTCAACTCACTTTCCTCCCATTTTTCACCTTTGAAACACACGCCTAAACACACACCTACGGATAGAAGTAGTAAGTGAGTACTTAAAAAAGAGAATTTTGGAGAAATAATTGATGCTGCTTCGTATTTGAAATTAAAAACAAAAGAAACTAATCCGTCTTCGTCCGTACTTGGCAAAATATTAAGCACAAATTAAAAAAGAAAAGAAAGTTAGAAGATCTCGTAATCGTCGGCCGCTCGAGACAAGAGGTGCGATTTGCGAGCCTTGAGTCTCTTCAAAACCCGGTCGAGCGTGACGTCAAACGCGTCTCCGACGGTTCCCAGCCCTTCTTTCCGGCCGCCGTACACTAGCCTCGGAATCAATTCTATTATAGTTTCTCTCATCTGTCTCACGTTGTCTCTGTGCACTCCTTCCAGAACCTCCCGGATCACCGTCCCGTTGCTCTTCCTCACGTCGTCGTGGTCGATGTAGACGGAGAACGTCTCCGATATCCACGGCAGGTGCCAGACGTACTGGTCCTTGAACGACCCTTTCCAGAAGTACACCGGGATCGCGCCGGAGATCATGCAGTCGAACATCGACCGCCGCGCCATCCCGTCCCCCCTCGGCTGCAGGCAGAAATCCGAGTGGAGGAACGCGTCGAACACCGCCGGCGACCCTTCGGAGCAGGACGCGGCGGAGCAGTCCACCGCGCGGCAAGCCTCGTCGCGGGAGCAGTAGTCCATTAGCAGGCGCCGGAAGTCGCGCTTGAAGATCTGCCGCTTGCCGCCGACGAAGGTGAAGAGGCTGTCGCGTTTCTGGGATCTGACGTGTCTCTGCCACTCCCGGATGTCGGACTCCGACCGGGGGTGGAATCCGGTGGGGTACGGCACGCTCTCTTCGATCCGATCCTTGACGTGCTTCTCCGGCCCCAACCGGAAAACGTTCTTCATCCGAGGCATGTACAGGAAACTGCTGCCCCAATCGCTACTGTTGTCGGTCAGTCGCCGGAAGTCCCAAGTCAACCTTCCGAGAACGATGAAATGGTCAGCTCCTCTGTACTCGGCATAACTCGGTTGCTCTTCCAACCAATCGAGGAACATCTCGCAGTACCGATCTCGATCTTGGTAAGTGTAATTGAACTCAGTGAACAAATACCTGCCGACGGCGATGCCGGCGTAAAAGGGTAAGTAGAATCCGGTGGCCTCCTTCGGATCCATCGTTCTGCACTTGTGATTCAACATCCGTTCGTGGTAAATAAGCTCCGCAGAGTACAAATCCGTCCAATACCAAGCCGGGACGAGATTCTCGGGAACAAGATTCCAGAGCCCGGTCGCCGGCGGGCCGAATCCGCCATTGGCGACCACCTTGCACCCGGTTCCCTTCCACGGATCTAGGTCTTTGCAATTCTCCACGAGCTCGTAGTTGAACTTCCGTGGAATCTCATAGACGTAGACCTTACCGGAGCTGCAATCCTGGCGGTTGGCCGAGATATGGCGGTGGGCGGAGGAAGGGTTAGACGGGGAGGGGTGGATGAGGGAGAAGAGAATCCAGATTTGGAGAAGGATGGTGGCGAAGAGGAAGACGCACTGGTTCAAAGGAATCTGAGATTTGACTGATTGTAAAGCTTGTTTGAGCTGAAGGGGTCGCGGCGGTCTCTGCTCGGTTGACTGTTTGTTCCCCGGGAATGGCAGATTCAGAGGCATTTTTACTTCCTCCGACGGGAAAACGGCGGTTGGGAACAGTGATTTAAAGTTTCAGTACGGAGAGAGTGGGGAGGGAGACGGGAAGTGATGGGGTGGCCATGAACAGGGCGGCAACAGTTTAGCTAAAGCGTGTGATTGAAATGGGAAGGCTGAACTGTGTTTGGGTTGGGGTTTGGGTCCTCTGTCGTCGGTTAACAATGCATCTCTAAACTTTCGTACCATTCACAATTATTACTCCTCTGTCCCGCTATATTCGTCCACTTTTGATTTTTGGAACTGTTCATCTAAGCACTTTGACTCATCAAATTCTCTCAATGTGTAAGCCTAAATATAGTCATGTGTGATCTTGTTTGATTTGTCTTAACATATAGATTATTAATATATAATTTCTATAATTTTTTAATATACAAATTATAAGATAAAATGGATTAAAAAAGTGTATTGAATGGTGTGCAAAAATGAAAGTGGACAAATATAGTGGGACGGAGGAAGTAATTGGGTCCGAATTAAATAAAAAAAATTGGGTCCAAATTTTTTTATTGGAAATTAGAGCGTTCAGCTCAATTATTTTTAATTTAGCTTATATCTCTATTTAATTATTCATTTCATTTTAGGTGTCTAATATTTGATTAACTATATATTCCGTATAAAAATATATACTGATTTAAAATATGAAAATTATATCAAATTATTGTTATTGAAAAATATTTTAAATATACTATTTTTTATGTTCCTTTGTTTATATATTTTGATAGATATTGATGGTTAAACTTTAAGTTCGAAAAGAAAATTAGTTACTCCCTCCGTACTAAAATTAATTTCCCATTTTGACTTTCGCAGTCAAAGTTTTTAAACTTTGACTACATGTTACGGAAAAAATATATTGAATTTTCATATAATTTAGTATGATTCATTTTGAAACATAGTTTTGAAATATATTATTTTGATAATATATATTCATATAAAAATGGATATATTAATGGTCAAAGTGCCGCATTGGAGACCGTGAAAAGTCAAATGAGAAGTTAATTTTAGGACGGAGAGAGTAGTTAAATATGAATTGAGGGAGCTTTGAGTGTAAGTTTGGAAATTCAAAGACTTCTTTTTAGACTTTCCTCATTTTTTGTGCACCCCAATCATAATAGCATCCCATTGGAGTCTTGATAGAGCATGAGAGAAAGTCTTAAGACTTCCTTCTCCAGGGTTCACCATTGGTAGAGATAAAAAGTGAGGAAGGTCTTGAAGACTCCCAACTCAACCTATCTAATAAAAATTAGATACGTGTAGTCAATTATACTTATTTTTTAAAAAAATTAGTTACAATTTTTCTAATAAAAATAAAAAAATGATAATTTTAAAAAAGTAAAAAAAAAGTTCAAAAAACAAAAAATAGAACGGAGTAAGAAACCAAAAACATAAAAATACAATAATGGTTGTGTTGCTTTTATTTTTATTTTATACAACTTACAGGTTTGAGTTTACTGTTGTTTAACAGATTACAGCGGGAAAGGAGAAATAAATAATACAAACTTATATTACGTTTGGATTTTACAACGAAGAAATGAAATAAAATAAATAGAAGAACGTCGGTTATCGGAAGTCGAACGGATAAGGAAAGCGCAGTCGCCAGAACTTTCCTTAAGGTAGTATTGCCCGCCTCCCACAGTTGCTAATGTGAACCATCCCCTCCGAGGATAAACCACTAACGTGCAAGGTCTACAACAGTAAAACCGTGCACCAACGAACTGGAACTAACGAAGAGTTACTTGTCAGAAAAGTGATCGGAAAATGTGAGAGAGAATTGGAACGGAGAGAAGATTTCAAGTTGAGTGGTTTTCCTCATTGCAACTAGCCCTACTTATCTAGCCCTACTTATATAGGAGAGAGACTTAGCTATTCGGATAGTCCGGGCGGACAACACGAAGAGTCACCGGAGACCTTTTCACACTGCATGCATGCTTCATTTCTTCTTCAACACTTCATTATTAACGACGTGTCCACACATGTTCAATTCGGTCTCATAAAAAAATAAGAGTTGGTCAACGCAGTTGTCACATCGCGCGCGCGTGACGTGTTGAAGAGACAGCGGCAATGCGCGAGGGATCCTTTCCTTCATCCTTATCAAATTGCTTTACCTTGTAATTTAATGCTAGCATATAAATGGAGGAAGATGACGAGTTTCAAATCCGATGTTGATAAATGGGTTTTACTCTTCCCAAGTGCCCGACTTTGTGAATTAATTTCTCATTCAACTGAACATTTTTTTTGGCGCACAATACATCGAAACACTCGTCTCACTTAAGAGAATAATTGTCCATAATTATTTTTAATAATTTAAATACTTCTCTAAATTTAATAAACACTTTGTAAAATTTTGTGTGTTGAAATTTTTTAATGGTTAATTATTTTTATAAATAAATTTGATAAAAAATATAATCAAAATGCAATACAATTATTTATAATATAACTAATTTAATATAAATACAATTATTGAAATTAAAGATAGTGGAGTATTAATGTGGCAAAGTCTGAAGATTGATAGATATGTGATGTAAACTCTTTTTGAAGTTGGTAATGAAGTTGTAATTTTCTATTCAAAAAAAAAAGTCTAAGCCTAAGGGTTCTAATAATTTTTTGAAAGTCTGAAGAAGAGTTTGAAATAGTAAACTGATGTTGAGCAAAGTTTGAGAGAGTCAAATTGCCTTCCATTGAGGATGCCCTTAACACACACACTCTCTCTGTCTGACTCTCCCAAACTTCTTTTCGAGATACCCTGACATTGGGCAAAGTTTTGAAGGGGAGATGGACATTGACCGGTACTATAAGTTCTTTTGTAGTCTTTAGAGTTATACTTATTTTATGTTTCGTACATAAAACTATTTTATACATTGAGGTTTGTAAATAAAGATGATACAACTAGGAGCTCCTTAAAAACATATGAAAAAAGTTTACATTTATTTTATATATGAAAAAGTTTACATTTTTTTATAAATCGACACAATAGCATAACTTTTGATGGTAAAGTCATTGAATTTTAAAGTTGTAATCACTTGGAAATCACATTTTTGCTACCATAAACCAGCAAATGTTGCACTTGGGATTCAATTAGAAACAATTGGCACTTAACCCGGTGATCAATCAATTTGATTGAACTGCCTAGCTAGCTATACTGTGAACATCTAAGGTGGGTGAAGGCTACTATTTACGCCGGAACATACTCTCATTAGTTCTTGAATGAATGAATGCCTGAGGGCCAATGAAGAAATAAAACTATGCCTGTGAGGTAGGATCAAGCTCGAACACGGACAAAAGGTGACGAGACGACTGACTCTTTTTACTAGATTGGCGCTTCGTTGGAACAAGTGTGGTTTCCTTATCTTCGTTGCCAACTTCGCCCTCACTATTGAACACCGGGTGGATGTACGCATTCTGAAGGTACTCTTTCAGGTTCAAGTTGGGTTCCTTCGTACGTTCCAGTGTGTCTTTCATCATTGCCTCCTATACAACCAAGGATGAGATCGCCGGGGAACAAAAAAAACTTCACAAACCTTAAGTTGTGTTTGTTTTAAAATGATAATTACCTGTAAGGGGTATGTGACAAAAGCTGGTTCGTAGCGGGCTTTGCAAAACAAATGGAACCATATTGTCAATATTGGGAGTGTAATAAGAAGCGGCGTTGAATGAGCAGCGCTTTTCGTACTAAGCAATCCCATAAGAAGCAGTTGTGAGACAATAAGAGCAGTCACAATGCGCCCGTGCACATCTGGCCAGAAGGCTGCTGCACTTTCATACTCTTGGTTGTACACATTGATGATCTGAATAACATGATTGACACATCAATTCCCAATTTCGTACGTATATATAGAGGTATATAGATTTATTATAATATTTGGTGTTTGGTTTTTTAACCTGATGGCGATATACGACGTATGCTAGGCTGAAAAACACTACAATGAAAGGAAGGAGAATAGGGGACACAACGGCATAAACAAGGCCAAGGAGGAAATAAAGCTGGATTTGTGGTTCGCCGGTGTTGAAACCAAGACTCCCAGGAGCCATTGCTTCTTCCCTGTCCTTTTCGGTCTTCACCAGGAAGAAATTCTTCAAGTGGTATATTATTAAAGGCTTCAACCTCAGAATCTCCCCGGCAACTCCAGCCCATCCATCCACCATTATGTATGTGATGAAGAAGGTTGCCTTCATTGGGATGGATGCACCGATTGTCTTTGGGATTCTGTGGCAAAGGGAATCCTACGGTTTAGAATTATGGGTAGAAGCCAATTTATTATCAATGTAAAACGGGTGGAAAATAACATACTCATTTGCAGACTGATGGATAAAATTATTCAATTGTTGAAAAGCAGTCCCTGCGATGATGCTCCCAAGAAAAACATTGATGAACTGGAAAATGTAATATCTTGTGGCAGATCTTCTCTCAAGTGATGATATGGAGATAAATCCTTCAAATTTGGACATGAACATCAGTATTGATGGTAGAAAGATTAGAAAAATCTTTAAAGCAATGCCGGGAAGAAATCCCTGGATGACAGACTTCACAGCTTTCCTGCACAAACATGGAATGTGAAGTAAATAAAAGCCTCTTGAGAATCCTTTTTAGGTTAGTTAGACTAAATGAAATGGCAAACATTTTCTTGATCAAGACGATTGATGGAAGAGTGGGTGCTTACGCTTCGATTATGACCTTGAGGAAAGGAAAAACCTTTTCAATTCCCTCAATGTTAGCAAGAGACTGCACAAAGGCAATTGGGATCATGAAGAAAAATGTGAGAAAGAAGAATGCCACAGCAACAAGGAGCCTTCTGATGGTAAGTGAAACATATGGGATTGCAAGGTTATCCCAGTAGACGTCGCGAGGCTCCGGGGCCCACACAGTCAACCAGTTGGTCGGGTTCCGCGACTGTTGAGTTTGTGCACAAACTGCAGCTGCCCATCTTGTCTTGAAAGAAACAAATGCAGCTGGCACAATGTACCTGCTGTTGCCAATAATGTTCATTCTCTCTGTACAGATCTGACATGGAACATCAAGAGTATAAGGTTTTAAGGATAGCAAAATATATACTCAAAAAAACATAAGAGAAGTGAGTGGGTGTTTTAACTTTTAACCTCCTTTGAAAGTCTTTCCATTTCAGAACTATAAAAATTGATTGCATCCACACTCTCGCCGCAACACCCAAGAAAACCCCCCTGTTTTTAACGACAAACATGCATTTTAACTACATATACATAATCATCTAGCAAGGGAAACAATTCCTAGCTGAATAAATATTACCTTACTTCTTGGCCTCTGAGACTGTTTTTTCGCGTGCTTTAACTGATAGTAGTCGAGCCAG